TCCCCCCCCCCCCCCCCAGCCCTTGGCTACAGCACTGGGGAAGGGAAAAGGGGAGTGAGAAATGGCCCCTGGTGGCTGGAGGGGGTTTGGGGAGACAGAAAGCCCCTGGTGGCTGGAGGGGTGCTTTGGAGGGGACAGAAGGCCCCTGGCATCTGGGAAGCGAAGAGAAAACCCTGCTAGATGGGACCTCCCACCCTGAACCCCTCCTCAACTCCAAACCTCACCCTCCTGCTCTGCCACCCCCACATCCTCAAGGCCCTGGCCCCACTCCTGAACCCCTCTCCCCCACTGCCAGCCCCATGCCCTGAAAGACCTGGGTAATGCCAGGGAAATCTTCTAATCAACAGTAATTCCCTTCTCTTTATCTGCAGTAAAGGCTTCAGACCATATTCTAGCCAAACTGATGGCTCAGAACAGCTTTTGTTTATGCTGTGCCTCTTTTCAAGTTTGTGACGGAGAATTAGAATCCCACAACAAGCAAGCCAGCAACCCAATTTTATCTTCATCTTTAATCTAAACTCATAGGTGATTTTCTTATGAAAATTAGAATCTAATGACGCTGATCCAAGCCTCCTCCCCAATCCCAGCAACTCTGTCAATGGACCTCAATCTAAGCCTACTGCCCTCTCTTGCTATTCTAGGACCTGGATTTACGCTGCTCCACCAATGTATTTCAGTGCTGATTTGCAGCACTACCTGCTCCTCTAGTCCTGAGAAGAAAGGTGATATAGAGTTCTAGAACTGGAAGGGACCTCACAGCAGGACCAAGCACTGTCTAGATCATCCTTGACAGGTCTGTCTAACCTACTCTTAAATATATCCAGTGATGGAGATTCCACCCCCTGCCCCTGAGACAATTTATTCCAGTGTTTAACCACCCTGACAGGCAGGAATTTTTTCCTAATGTTTAATCTAAACCTCCCTTGCTACAATTTAAGCCCATTGCTTCTTGTCCTATCATCAGAGGCCAAGGAAAACAATCCCTCCCCCTCCCTGTGACACCCTTTAGATACCTGAAAACTACTATCATGTCCCCTCTCAGTCTTCTGTTTTCCAAATGAAACAAGCCCAAATCTTTTAGTCTTTCCTCATAGGTCATATTTTCTAGACCTTTCATCACTTTTGTTGCTCTTCTCTGGGCCTTCTCCAATTTCTCCACATCTTTCTTGAAATGTGGTACCCAGAACTGGACACAATACTACAAGGGAGGCCTAATCAACGCAGAGTAGAGAGGAAAAATGACTTCTCGTGTCTTGCTCACAACACTCCTGTTAATGCATCCCAGAATTATATTTGTTTTTTTTCACAACAGTGTCACACTGTTGACTCATGTTTAACTTGTGTTCCACTATGACCTCTAAATCCTTTTCTGCAGTCCTCCTTCCAAGACAATCACTTCCCATTCTGTATGTGTGAAACTGATTGTTCCTTCCTTAGTGGAATACTTTGCATTTCTCCTTATTAAATTTATCCTGTTTACCTCAGACCTTTTCTCTAGTTTGTCCTGATCATTTTGAATTATGACCCAATCCTCCAAAGTACTTGCAACCCCTCTCAGCTTGGTATCATCTGCAAACTTCATAATTGTACTCTCTCTGTCATCATCTAAATCGTTGATGAACACATTAAACAGAGCTGGTCCCAAAACAGACCCCTGCAGAACCCCACTTGTTATGCCCTTCCAGCATGATTGTGAACCATTAACTACTCTCTGAGAATGGTTGTCCAGCCAGTTATGTATCCACCTTATAATAGCCACATCAAGGTTGCATTTCACTAGTTTACTGATAAGGCATATTGTCAAATGCCTTACTAAGGTCTAGGTATACCATGTCCACCACTTCTTCCTTATCTACAAGGCTTGATATCCCATCAAAGAAAGCTATCAGATTGGTTTGACATGATTTGTTCTTTACAAATCCATGCTGGCTGATACCTATCACCTTATGTTCCAGATGTTTGCAGATGGATTCCTTAATTATTTGCTCCATTCTCTTCCCTGGCACAGAAGTTGAAGTGACTGGTCTGTAGTATCCTGGATTGTTTTTATTTCCCTCTTTGTAGACGAGCACTATAGTTGCCCCTTTCCAGACTTCTGGAATCTCTCCTGACTTCCATGATTTTTCAAATATGATAGCTGAAGGTTCAGATGTCTCCTATCAGCTCTTTGAGGAATTACTCATTTAACACATGCCTACTTAACACGTTTTCGCAATAGCATGATTTTTTTAGGGACCATTTTTTGAATAACACAACCATCCCCAAAATAACACAAAATTAATCAAGTGGCCGACTACTTCGTGCAGTGGTATAAGTTGGTAAAAACAGTGGTAATACACATGAGTGGATGAATACGTGTGTCACCGCGCTCCTCTGCTCCCTCATGTGTTTATCTTTGTGTTTTAACAAACCACAGCGACTTGTGTTGCTAGATATCTAATGTTGACATTGATGACCCAGCACCAACAAAAAATTGACTTTGCCACCACCACCTGAAACGCAACCCCTACATTTTCCATTATTTTTAATGGGAAAATTGACCCACATAGCACGTTTTCGCTTGAGCACGAACATTTTCAGAAACGCATCTATAGTTTTAAATGAGGAATTACTGTATTCTAGAATGCATTTCATCAGGCCTTGGTGACTTGAAGACATCTAACTTTTCTAAGTAATTTAAACTTATTCTTTTATTTTAACTTCTAACCATACCCCATTTCCACTAGCATTCACTGTATTAGGCATCCCATCACTATCCAAATGATGAAATCCGAAAGAAAGAAGTCATTAAGCACCTCTGCCATTTCCAAGTTTCCTGTTATTGTTTCTCCCTCTTCCCTGAACAATGGGCCTACCCTGTCCTCGGTCTTCCTCTTGCTCCCAATATACCTGTAGAACATCTTCTTGTAACCCTTTATGCCTCTAACTAGATTTTGCTCATTTTGTACCTTTGCCTTTCTAATCTTGCTGCTGCATACCTGTGTTGTTTGCTTATATTCATCCTTTGTAATTTGACCTATTTTCCACTTTTTGACTCGTTTTTTATTTTTAGATCATATAAGATGTCCCGGTTGATCCAAAGTGGTCTCCTGCCATACTTTCTATCTTTCCTAGATAGCGAAATAGTTTGCTTTTGGCTTAATAATGTCCCTTTGAAAAACTGCCAACTCTCTTCAGTTGTTTTTCTCCTTAGTCTTGCTTTCAGGTATCTAAAAGGGTGTCACAAAGAGGAGGGGAAAAACTTGTTCTTCCTAGCCTCAGAGGATAGAACAAGATGCAATGGGTTTAAACTGCAGCAAGGGAGGTTTAGGTTGGACATTAGGAAAAAGTTCCTAACTGACTAGGCTTCCTAGTTCGAACTACCTAGTTCGTGCCGCATGTAGCCGCGCGGCACAGGGTTCGAACGAGCGGGGATTTAAAAATGGCGGAGCCCCGCTTATGCAAATGAAGCCCAGGAAATTCAAATCCCGGGCTTCATTTGCAAGTGCGGTATGCCTACATTACCCCACTAGTTCGAACTAGCGGGGTAGTGTAGACATACCCTAAAAGACTGCCAACTCTCTTCAGTTACTTTTCCTCTTAGTCTTGCTTCCCATGGGACCTTACCTACCAGCTCTCCGAGTTTACTAAAATCTGCCTTCCTGAAATCCATTGTCTCTGTTTTGCTGTTCTCCCTTCTACCATTCCTTAAAATCATGAATTCTATGATTTCATAGTCACTTGCACCCAAACTGCCTTCCACTTTCATATTTTCAACCAGTTCCTTTCTATTTGTTAAAATCAAATCAAGAACAGCTTCTCCCCTCATAGTTTTCTCAGCCTTCTGAAATAAAAAAAATGACTCCAATGTAGTCCAAGAACTTATTGGATAGTATGTGCCCTGCTGTGTTAATTTCCCAACAGATGTCCGGATAGTTGAAGTCCTCCCAGATCTATGACCTTTGCTACCCCAGATACTGTCAAATCGGTCCCTTTTCTACTAAAAAAGTGTGGTGGTTTATGATGTTTACATGTATGTTAGGGATGTGGCAGAGTCCCCACAAATTCATTTCACTTTTCCCTAAAGCAGACTATAGCTCCTGCTCTCAAAGTGATGAACTCCAGCATAAAACCCCTGAATAGGTATCTGGAAGGCAAGCCTTAAGAGATGCGGTACATTACTGCACCTTTTAATCTCATGGACAGTGAGTGCTCAGAAATGTATATGAAATGTATGTATTTACTGTTTCTGCATCAACTACCTTTGCATATATTTAAATACTATAAACTGACTTCTCATGCAAATTATGCTGACAGTCAGCAAATTCTCCATGGCACTACAAGAAGCTGTGTCACAACTACTAGCTACAAAAGGGGTGAAAACCAGAAAAACTAAGAAAAGCAGCACACTGTCCTGGCCTAAGTTATAGAGATACAAACCAGTATAATTTAATTGAAAGAATTAATGAAAGAGATTATGACATTCTTCAGGATGGGGTATTCAAACAAAACTTTCTCCAATATATCAAATTAACTATAGTACTAATCAAGAAGGTCTGAAAGACCCAGGTATTGCTATAGGACAGCCACATGGCTGAGAGCTTCTCAAGGCTTCTTTTAAGAGGACAGCATCCATGTAAACATCATGAGCTGATATTTGTATGTATTGCTTTCCCCAGACCTGAAGCTACCAACCATTTGCTTTGCACTCAGTTTGTCACTGATTTTATTTCCCTTACTAATTTTTCATTTTTGTGCCCATGTGTACAGTAAAAGCAAATACGTCAGCTACAGAGATTTGAATATTTGATTCTATAGGACCAGGGATTAGCAGTAGGAAAGAGTTAAAATAGGCTAGCCCCAAGCTCCATTCCCCTGTCTGATGTAAGATATGTGTGAAGTGTAGAGATGTGACAAAGTGGAAAATTTCCTTTGTTGTGTCATACGTGAGCCTATGTAAGTTTTACTGTTTTGCATGAATGCTGTTTGTGCCTCAGTTTCCTTGTGTATTTATAACTCTACACTAGCCAAAGTTTAAAAACAACAAGCAGTCCTGTGGCATCATAGAGAGAGTAACAAATATATTTTATGAGCTTTCGTGGGTTTACTTTGACAATGCTCTATCTGGTGAGCATTGAGGCAGACCCAGAACAAACTGTATTTACATAAACATCCAAAGTTTCTCCCCCTCCTAGACAGCTGTCAAGGAAGCATTTATTCAGTTATAGATGTAAGCAGGGTCTATCTACTTTCAGCAGACACTGAAGAGCTGTGCAGAGAAAGAGGACTGTGCATTGGAAAGCTCACCAAGGCACAGCTAATTGCTCTGTTGGAAGAGGATGATCATTCTAAGGAGCCCATCTCTGATCCAGCTATGTCCATTAGAGAAGCTGGTAAAAATCTAGGTTTCTCTGTGACTCCCCTCCTCTCCCGTCAATGAATCTAAGACCAAGTTGGAGCTGAGGTCAAAGGACTCAGAGGACTGAGAGACAGGAAAGGCATGAGGCAAAAAGCAGAAAAGACAGGGAAGGCATGAACCAGCAATGACTGAGCTGAGAGGCACAGATGAAAGGAACTTGATCCTGGGGTACCAATTCTGCAGGGAACCTCAACACTGAATTGCTGCTTCAGGAGAAGGAGGAAGAGAGATAGATGCCTATCTTGCAGCTTTTGGGAAGGATTCCAACTGGAACCAGGCTGATTCTGTGGAAAGATGCCAATGTCCTCTTTCTGGGTCCCAGGGTCATAAAGCTGTTTAGCCAGATGGGTGTGGCTCCCACTTCTGGGCCCAGATATATGTCTGCATGTACGCTC